TATTTGTCTAACAGATTTCTCTAAGCCACATGAATACAAAATAAGTGCTAAGGAGCATATTTCAGAGCAAAGGGGCACTTGGGTTTGTGGCCAAATTCCTCAGTATCATGCCCTGACTGTTATTTTCTGGCTGAGGGACAGGCTAAGTTGTCTACCCACTCTGTCTTAAAGATGCCCACAGTGTCTGCTTTATAGGGCTGTAGTAAGGACTGCTTGAGAGATGGTGTGTGGGAGAAGAGCTAAGCTGTGCACTCGAGCTCTTCGCCAGGAGCCCCACACCCACAGTCCCATGTACGCCTAGTGTCCTTGGCTATGGAGTGAGGATAAGAATGAATATGAAGTGTATCTGCCCTGAGGTCACATGCTGATAAAACCCCACAGCCTCAATTATTGGCCATTCTTAACATCAAAACGCGAGAAATTGAAGGGCACTTAAAGTATATCCTCATGGAAGTATTATTAATGGCTTCCATTTACTGAGCTTCTGGTACATATCAGCCACTTCCACCCTACAAAGTAGTTATTATCCTCCTGATTGTACAAAGGCAACAACTGAGGCTCCAAAAGGTCCTGTGGATTGTGGAGTCCACACCACTGGCAATCAGAAGAGCAAGGATTGAAATGCTAGAGCTCTTCACATGACAGGCCATTAAAGAATGTCCTAATTTTAAGAAAATCTGATTTCACAAAGCAGAAACACTATGAAGTGAGTACTGACATTACAAAAACCCTGCAGAGTTTCTTTGAGTGAATATTCTCCAGGTGTGGGAAATATTTTGTTTTAGAACCAGCACTTGAGAAAAAAGCTGAAGGGAGAGAAACAAATCTACAGTGTCAGTGAATTCTTTGGAGACCAGCAGCTTGTAGGCTGTGATGCTAAAAGGACAAATAAGGTGGCAACAAGATAGATGGCACAAAGCCCTGCATTTTTGCCCAATTAGCTGTACACTCAGAGTTTACAAGCCCCAAAGCCCTAAAATAAATTAGTGAATAAAATGGGTGTGAGAATATTGGAAGGGTAGGGATTTCGACAAATTGAAGAGCATGTGCCTCATCCAAAGACATTCTGATTCCACTTTTTTCTTAAAAATGACTGCCCTGGGCCAGGGATTTAGCTCAGTGGTTTCTCCGCCTGCTACACAAGCTCAAGGTCCCGAGTTCAATCCCCGGTACCAAAATAAATAAATAAATAAATAAATTTTAAAAAATAAAAAATGATTGAAACAAAACACACCCATTCATAAACCTTGGAATAATAAATGGTCACAAGCAAGGTAGAGCTAATTTGAGGTTAGGACAAACAGGAAAAATTACAGAGGAACTAGGATTCAAAGCACAGATGAAAGGGGGATTGACTTGATTAGAAGACAAAGGGTTTTCCAGACAGGAAAATAAGTGGGAACGAGAGGTAGAAGCATAGATAGCACAGGGAATGTCTTCTGGGTAAGAAAGAAATCAATTTGAGTAAGTCAAGTTCAGCACTATTAACTGAACAATACAGTGAATAAAAGCGGGAGGGTGTAGGCCTGTGAACCCCAGAAACAGAAGATGGAATTTGACTTGTAGGGAATGGGAGTCATTAACAATTGCTAAGTCATGTTATCAATTTCTATCAAGCATTTTAGGAAGAGTGATATAGCAGTTGTGTGAGGAATAAGTAAAAGAGAAGATTTGCTTCCTGCTTATTTTGGGGGAAGTTGATGAAGATCTTGCTTAGTGGCAGTAAAAATGCAGAAGTAGAGAAGGACGGAAGTCTGGTTGGATATAGAAAGTGATGGAAAGGAAAAGTCTACTTAGGGAAAACTGAATGACTACTGTCTATTATTAAGCAGTTTGGAATAGGTATTGTCTACAGCCAGCAGCATGACTCTATGCTTTTTTAATTTTTATTTTTAATAGAAGCATAAATTACATGTTTTACATAGTAGAAAATTATTGCAGAGATAAAAGTTTTAGTTTTCCAGGAGCCTAGGCAAAGCCTCTTACTACACAGTAAGAGAGTTAAGCTAGACCCTATTAAAGGGTTTATATTTGTATTGCTGATTCCTATGATAATATTAAATTTTTATTTTTGTGAAAGATTTTAATTTGTAAAATTGCCCTTGCACAGCAGGTGGAGCTTTGGGATTCTGGAGCCTTTATTCTGACTTCTGGCTCTTAAGTGAATGAAACTATAAATGTTGAGTAATACTGAAAAAGAATTAGTTAGATTTCACAGTGACTATAATTGTGATTACAGTTAGATGACTGTAGTGATCCAAAAGACGCACTATAATTTATGACCCTCCTGAACCAAACCCATTTCAGTACCATCAAGAGACATTCTTTATTGACAAAGAGCAGTGTGAAGTTAAATCACCACCTACCATTTAGTAGCTCTGAGTCCTTGGGCAAGTTACTTAACTTCTCTGTACCTTCATTTATCTACCTCTAAGGGGAAGAGAAAAACCATAGCCCTACCTCATAAGACCGTTGTGAGAGTTAAATAAATGAGCACACCTAAGCCTGATCTTGGTCTGCAAAAGTCTCAATAGTTCATATCATTGAATTGAAATGGCATATATTCTGCTCATCATTTTCCTTCTGAATAAAATGTCAAGAATAGGCATAAAAAAAAGAATAGGCATAAAATGGAGTCGTATATGGCTAAGATACTAGGTGCACAGTTCTGTTTAGATAGGGTCTCTTGCTGGATGTTTGCCTGAAAGCATTAAATATCTTACCTCCCAAGACATTCCTTCTGGAGGGACGTGGAGCTATTCCTGCCCAGCTATTCCTGGTCCTCCTTAAGCACTCCACAGAGTGGTCTATGCCCCTGGCAAATGCCTGGAAGGGGTGACAGGGGCTTGAAATGCAGCCTTATGCTAAACTGTCAGGGGCCCTGCTGCAAGAGCAGTGTCATCTCTGTCCTGGTGTCCTGGGCTGCTAGGCCTGGGAGGAGGCCTCTGGGGGCACCAGGAACCATGTGGGCTTGGTTCCAGAGAGGTTACTCTGATGTGGCATTCTCCACGAGTCTGGTGACACCTGACCTCTCCTCGCCCATTGCAGTAGCAGGGGAAATAAAAATCCCTTTTGTCTACACTGGGAAATGCACCACTCACTGACACCCTTAATGAGGTGCTGCTGTTGCGTTTGGGACAGAATGCCAGTATGCTTATGGCAGACCTGGGCTGAGGACAGTCAAGGTGGGAGAGCTGTTCTTTAAGACACATGAGAGTCCTCTCTGTCATGAGGGAGCAGATTCTGCTGTAAACAACTACAGCTGCCTAGTGGGTAAAATCTGGGGAGCAATTCATTAGGCTGTCTCTGCCAGGTGGAGAATACAGGAAGTAGAAGGCTGGCCCTACTACTGACCCAATGCTGCCTTCCACCTGGAGAACAAAAACACGGATTGGAATGAAACTCATCTGGACCTCTGAGATCTTGTGGCCATCACTGCCCACCTCTTAATCCTTGCCCAGACCTTTTCCAAGGGATCTGCACACAGAAAAGGGACCTCTTGTCTTTCAACTCACCCTCCAACAGGCCAAGGCTACTTCTCACCAAGACAAGCTGAAAAGAAATCAATTTCGAGGGAAGGGGAGCTGAGTTTCAAGAGTAGGGACTCTTCTTGCCTTGAAAGGCCTCAAAAACTACCAACTGTGTGTTTGTCCCCTTGCCCAAGGAGACAGGAGAGTATACCAATAATTTTATTGAGTGTTTCACAAAGTGCCAGACAGCATTTTAAGTCTGAAGTCCTCATGAAGTCAGTGAGGACTAGTGTTATCCTCATTTTCACACAAGTTCTCATCACTACAAGGATGAGATCCAGACTACAAACCCCAGGAGTCTGGCTCCAAAGTGTCCCCATCTATAAAATAAAATGACAACTAGCATGAGGAGTGAATGGCACGCTAACACAAAACAGACAGCACAGCCTTCCCAATGCAACCCCATTGTTCATCTTCCTTCCCTCCACTCCTCAAGAGCTTGAGCAGCTAAAGATCATGAGGGCTGCACAAGGCCCGCAAAAGAATTCTTTTTCTTGGCTCTGGTTCTATGCTAGTAGGTGGTTGATTAAATTGCCTTTTTAAAAAGACACTCACAATAATAATTGCTATGTAAGTCAACACCAAAATCCATGTGTGGAGGAGCTCCATAGGGCTTCTCCCTGGGATGTAGCCCAGGAGGCATCACAATCAGAAGGCCTCATTGGCCTAGGAGATTTGGGATACACATGAAGATCAGAGGTAACTGGGGTGGTGGGGATGGATGGAAAGACTCCAGGAGGCCATGGCCCCAAAGGGGATATGGGAAAGTAGTGGGGATATTTGTTTGCTGGAGAGGATTTCCTGACTCCATTCTTTACTGCTATCAAGCTCTCCCACATCATCCCTCACCCTCAAGCAGCACCCTGCTGCAGGATTTGCTCACACAGGAACCCGGTGTGAGAGGCATCTGTAGTGTGGTCCAGAGACAACACTAGCAGCAGCTGTAAGACCAGGGAAGCACTGCTCCAATCATGTGAATCGCTATGTGTCTTTTAGGCTTAAAAGAAATCATGAGTAATGACAGAAAGTGAAAAAACCTTTTACAGCCCAGACACAACTGTCGATGCTGGAAGCTGGTCCCTCTGCCTAACATCCTGGAACCTGGCCAATGTCCAAGAGTGACAAAATGGACTTGGCATCTCTTCAAAGTAGGCAGGGGACATAATAACAAAGTCAATAAGGCCAACCAGTAGTCTCAAGTTGTAGTGGCTCAAGACGGTAGTTATAATTCATGAACATGTATTCCATAACCTGCCAATTCAAAGTTTGTCCTTTGTTTTAAGAATATACTATTTTCTTAATTCCAGATTTGCCAGGCAGAAATTCTTGAGTCCTTTCGTGGGTATCATTCAAACATTATAATCCATCATTTCCACTATTGATCTTTTACTTAAATTAACCCTGCAAGAAAGTCCTCAGAGAATATGAATACAGGTAGTATACATGGGTAAAATTATAAACATGACAAGATTTCTGTGGGATGTATTTTTTAATGAGAACACATTGTTAGCGTATGTGGCATTCTTGCTTAATGGGAACATTTATAAGAACACATACACATTTATTCTAAACACCAAATAAAGTAGATATTTTAAATGACCAGTTTGCACCAGAAATAAAATATATTATACAAAACAGGGGTTATATCCACAGTCATTAACTCAATTTCTACACAAAACAACAATAAATTAAATCACATTATATCCAGATAGTTCTACTTACATTAGAATAATAAACTGTATGTGGCCTGTGCAGCTTTTACTTTTACTTTTCTACCAGACTCATGTTAAGTTTGTATGGCTTGGTAGTCCTATATTTAAATTAACAATGAATAATATGGCCCAGAAGACAAGCACACGATGTCTATCCCATGTCCTGTTGGTTTCAATTATGCACAGGAAACAAAGCTCCCATTCCCAGGACCCAATACAAATTCACAGCCTCTTTGTGCTGTTGAGGGGCATTTCATTGCTGTCTCGTAGGATACATGACATGGAACATTTTCAGATCTTGACACTGAAGAATAAATAAGACAACCCATTTCAAAATCCAAATTCTTTCTTTTTTTTGTCCAATAATAATTATTTTGGTAACAGCAACAACAACAAACTGGTAGCTTATGTTATCATTTACATTTGGTAAGTGGCCCTTTGTTCCTTATGTAGAGAAATCTAGGCCTTTAAACCTCTGAATCACAGCAAGGCAACATTTTTGCTAACTCTTTTAATCTACTTGTTCAGAAAATTCCATGAAGAATCACCCCACACCTGATACATCAAAGAGTTATAATAACATACGGATTTTTTACTTGCAGTCTCAGCTCCCAGTGAAACCTTTCATTGTATTTGAAGTAGCTTAAAACATGAACAACAACAGCATCACCTGGTTTAGATTGCTTTGCCTTTGGTATGAATTAACATTAGTGGTTAATGAAAAATCTGAAAGAAGAATCAGGATGTATTCTGTACTGGTACAGATTCCCTATGATGGATATGATCATTACATATATCTAAAATGTACCAACAAAATTAATTGAAAAAAAGAAATTTGAACAAACTCCAACCCAGCACCTTTTGAAAGTTATTTTAATCCTGCACTCTAGCTGTGGGGTATGCCAGCAAGAGACATTTGTGAAATCCGTGTGCTGAAAACCAAAGCCAGGCTTGTTGGAGAAGATGCATATCACAGATTTGAACTGTTCCCAGGGCATGTGTGGTCAAGTTACTGTCAGAGCTCTGATTAAAATCAGCCTCCTTCTTATAACCATCACTATTTTACCTATTTTCCCTCTGAGGAGTTATGCAAACCTATTCACAAGTTCCTACCTGCACTGGCAAGATGCTGATGCACCTTTGGAGTCGTGGTGGCTGGTCGGTGGGGATGGGGTACCTGCAAAGTTACTCTTCCCCATTTCTTTTGGAGGATCAAAAGATTCTCCTTACGGGCATGCTCCAAGCTTCTTGCTGAATCTAGATGTTGAAGAGGGACTAAGTTATTACTATTATTATTTAGTTCTAAAGACCAACTGGAAAAAAAAAACTGGTCCCTCTGAACGCCACCATTTCATTCTCGCTGCTTCCACACTGCCCCTAAAACATATCCTGTGTTTTTAGACAGTTTCAGTTTTTTCCACTGAACAAGAAATTCAACTCATTACCAACTTCCTATGAATCCCTGAACCACAGGGTGTAACTAAACAAAACCCATGACACATAGATCAAGGGGACTAATTTTGGTTGGCGTTTGCCTTTATGACTGTATCCATTCGGGATGTGAGTTCTTTGTGTCCCAAGAAACATAGGCACTTGTTCCTTAGAGTTTATAAACACTCCTTTAATACCAATAGTATAATACTCTGTTGGTCTCCTAAAGAGACTTTGACAAATAGCCAACATATGTTCATTTACAATAAGGTGGCAATGCCCCGGGAACCTACTTCCAAATCCATTGCAGTTTGTCTGAGGTCTACAATGGCCTTGATTTTCACAGCACTCAAAATCGGTCCCAACCAAAAGAAAGGTGGCAAGTTAGGGGCAAAGAAAGCACATGTGCCTTGAGTAAGTAAATGGCCCTGGAAGCCTGTGCACAGGGAGAAGTGACATGGTGTTCCAAAGCAAAGGTCTGAACCTCAGGGAGAGGAGAAAAGAAGGTATTTGTTCTCTTTCTACATGTTCTCGCCTCCCTCCATTAAATATGGCTTCTGAGATGTAAAGAACTATTCTAAGGCCTGAGGAATCATAACTGTGATCCAGAAAAAGACAAGTCGATGGTTCTTCAGAGAAATGCAGTGTTTACGGGGGATTCCTCATAAAACCTGTGGTTACATTGTGGGGAGAGATCTTTCCCGATACCAGTTATTATGCGGAAAAGATTTTATTTGGGGGTTCCTCCCCACCTCCCAAAATCTAATATAGTAATAAATCCTATACTTATTTCCAACACCAAAAATTATATGCTTATTTTGACCTATATCAATGTGAGCAAATGTCTAACTGAGAAAATACTGATAAAATATCCCCTTTGAAATCTGAACACCCTGGTTTTCAGGGTGAAAATTTATAGCATGATTTAAGAACTAACACCCTATTTACCTTACTATGTGGCTACTGGGAGAGTATGAATGAACACTTGTCAAAGATGTTGCTTAGCAATTAGGAACTTAAATCTGAAAATATAATCTTGAAATCTTAATCCAGGACAACCTTAGGCCAAACATCTACATTTCTAGCAAAAAATTTCCAACTTAATAGTGTTTTCAAAACTAAACAGAGTACTGGTAACCCACATAAAGGTTTCCAGGGAAAAAAGAGACAGTAAAAATGTAAATAAGCAATTAATCTTAAGAACACTAGAAATTGCTTTAAAATTAGAAGAAAACGACATCCACATGCCAAAGAACTCATGATTTGTCCTGCCATTTTTAAGGACTAAATTCTCTCTTACTTTAAAACCTTATCTAGGGATAGAATATTAAATTTATAACTATTTCTCTATATAACATAGAAATAAAAGATACTTGCTCTAAAAATGTTGGCATTAATGAGCTACTGTGTAAATTCTAGAAAGGTCAGAAATGTTTATACCAAAAGACTACAATCAGGAAAAAGGTTTTTCCCCCACATAAAAAGCACATGGGTTTTAAATGCAACTCTTTATCAGCACAAGATAATGAAGAGTTCATATCTCAAAAATATATAGAAAGCATCATGGAAAAATAAAAATGAGAGAGAAATAAGCTCTCTGATTCACATAACTAAGATGGAAGCAATCCTTCCCACTGTTTTTTCATTTGGGGGAGTCCCAAGCCATCAAATACTTTGTTTTCCTAGATTTTACTTCTGAAACTCTCTCCTATATCATAACTTCTGGAGTTTGCCTTCCTTGTCTTCTTTTTTCCATCATTTTTTTTTAATTCTGCATGATTTTCCTTGGCAAACAAAATGGGCAAACTAAAAGATAGTTGTTTCTGTTGATCATAGCTAATTATTTTACCATGCCCTCCCAGAGGCCTGCATTCCACTTTCTAAACAGGCAGGAAACAAATCTCACATACAAATAATCTGTTCACTGGGGCTAAAGCAAGAGTAACAGATGCAATCCTCTCCAGGGAAGCAAGCAAGGCCAAGGCCCAGGACATGCTGCATGCACTCGACTTACCTCCACAGAACTATGACCATCACTGCCAAGGAATTGCTCAAACATCCAGTTTTCCTCCCTATTTATGACCTTTTAAGATGTGAGGATGATTTTTTAAAGCTATCTTACTGCTGAAAATTTATTGAGAAAAGAACCTCGTGGCCTAAAATGATACACTCATGGGACAGACTCCCATCCTTCCCTCACTGTCTATTTTCTCCACAAATGTTAAGCAAAAGTGACAACCTAAGTTTAAACCTCTGTGCACAGTACTGGGTGCAAAGTAGACATACAGTAAACACTTATCCAATTTCATCCAAATTCCTGACGTACACATCAAACCCACCGTTAACACAGGCAACTGGCCGGTGACTACAAAGCTCTGTGGAGTTGAATGAAGGGGGATATAGTAGAAATTTAGATTCCCTCCTTTAACCAAAACCATCACTGTGAATTCTGGTGAACATCATGTATGCATGTCTTAAATTTATCATTTCTGTGCCTACTGTCAAATTCTCACTATTAAGTTGTTTTTGAGGAAAACAAGCTACCTCCCTTCATAAAACTCTGCATAATTCTAATAACTTTTCATTTCCCATCTGGAGACTCATCATTTGACCAGAATTGGAAGGGCTAGAAACCTAAAGTAATTTGCATTTAAAACAGTTAAAAATGCAAAAACAGTTTAAATCGATGTAATCCTGTAGAGTTTATAATCTGAACACCACATTGATAGATCTCTGTAATTAAAGCAGCAATTGGTGTTTGGCTACAACCAAGGGGAAGAGGGAAACAAGGAGAAAAACAGAAGCATCTCTCATCATTATTTGTTCATTGTACACTTTATCCATGCTTTTAAAATATAAGTGAAATTTAATCTTCAAAATGAAAAAATAGACACATTTTTCTAATACCAAAATACAAGATTAAAATACTTAAAACTAAAACATTAGTATGAAGTAGGGCTTATTTTTACACCAAAAACAAAAATATTTCAGCCTGCTTTTCTTACATAAATCCTCCTACCTCACTAATATTTACATCTTTCCAGAGACCCTGAAAAAGAGAACACAGGGAGGATCCTTTCTTGAGATCTGAACTCAGACCTGAGTGCAGATGCTGAACAGAGCACTCCCCAACCACAGACTTGCCCACCAGCTTCAGACGGCAATGCTAATTTCAAATACTGGGATTTTTCTTAACATTTTCCTCTTATTGGGTGTTAAATTCCTTCCAAGAATATTCTACTTGTTAAAATGATTTTATTCTGACTACAAAACATTTCATTTTTGAAAACCACACTTTTTATATCCATGTGTGAGATGCCCCCAAAAGCCACAAAGATATGGAGGCATCAGATTTTTTAAACATAAATCTAAATATATACCCTCAAGCACTACAAATGTTGAACACAATAACATTATATCCTATATTTGTTTGTCATGCGATGAAAGGCCGGGAGGCAGATGGTGATTAATAATAGTTCCTGAGCTTCTAAAGAAATATTAAAATGAAATGACTGCTTTAAAGAATGAATTCTTCAATCACTCCCCTTCTGTTCCATTGGTGACTTTTATCCCACTATCTCCTTAAGGAATCTCAAACAGGAAAATTAAAAAACCCTTCTTTTAAGCCACAGAAAAATGAGATCTGATGGAATCTTCCCGTAACTCCCGATGTTTTCCAATATTACTTTCTTCTTGCTGGTTTCTCCTCTCAATGGTTATTCTGTATTTCTTCCTGGGTAAAGGGAAAGTGAACATAGTAATAAAACCTCAGTTGGCTACAAAATACTATGGCTTTTCTTACAAAGAGTGCCCTCAAGGGACATCTGGGTTTAGTTTGATAGATGAGAAGTGACAGAATATGAAACCCTGGTCAGAGATTAAAGTAGTGTGCCCCAAGGCATTATGTCCTTATTCAGGGAGGAAAATTGGCATGCTTTCTGAAATGCCATAGAACAAGCCTTTCCCTTCTTCCCTGGGTGCCTTTGGGTTAAGTCTTGTCTATTCTGCCCCAGAAGCTCTGCCTGACTCCCAGGATATGCCCTAGATAAAGATCAGATGAAGTGTACTGTGACCCAAGGAACAGCAATACGATTGTTCCCACAAAGGATCACATACACCCAGAGTTACATTCCAAGCAAAAATACAGAAATCTTGAGTCTGATGACTTACAAATAAGCCACAAACTCAACCAGCAAACATTACAAAAGAATGGACCACCCTCGTAGTGTGTAACAATCAGAACCTTGAACACATGCACATATTACAATTTTACAAGCCTTGGGGCTTAGCTGTAGTGGTAACCAAGCATGCAAATTCTCCAAATACAAAGCACAGATCAGCCTGAAAACAGGGCACACTCTCCTAGACTGTCCTCCTCAGCTCCTGGCCCACGGGTGGTACAACAGAAACCCCTGACCCCAGTAACCACTGACCAACAAACTGGGGATCGCAGTGAAAGAATGGCTTAAATCTTCCAACCGCCATGCTTTTTGGTTAAAAGGTATGGACGAATTACAAGGAGCATTTTGCAAAGACAAGTACCCAAAACAGAAGAGGAAAGTGAATTTTAATTGTATAAATGATTCCCACCTGAAAAAGTAGAAGGCCATTAGCAAACCAGCTCCTAGTAAGGCCCCCACAACAATTCCTGTCACTGCTGATTCTTCTAGGCCACCTGCTTAAAAAAGAAACAGATAATCAGGTTTCATTTTGGAAATAAGTGGAAATGCCTCATGTTTCATTTATTGGAAGGTGTCTCCCAATCTCCCACTGGAAGCAAAATAATTTTTAAGGAGATCCTGGTTTTCTTTTGTTTTTTTCTTTCTTCCCCCACCCCCCAATGCTTAGTGTAAAGCTTAAGGAAAGCTTTTCATAAATTACTAGATAAAGACAGTGCTACAAAGAAAGTGAGCAGAACAAGAATAGAAACAGATTCAAGAAGGATTTGAACAAAACTGGAAACTGTAGATTTCAGATATATCCACAGTCTTTTGAGTTTCTACTTAAAGATAAAAACTGGATTGACCATAGCATTGACCCAGCACTTCTTATTTTCACAGATGGATGGTGACACTTCCAAGTGCTAGAAGATTTGGTGAAAAACTCATTGGGTCAGTATTCTGTTTTTAGATATTCTCTCACCAAAGCCAGAGTTCCATGTCAAAATGTCCTATATAGCTTTCTGAAAATTGGAATAATAATTTGAAACAATCACATTCAGTGCCCCACTTATATAAAAATGATAAATAGCTAGCTTTGTATACAAAGAGTTTAGTATATGGCCTCCAGCACATTGACTCACTTACTCCTCAAAACAGGATTTACAAATTAGGTTCATTTTATTTTATATATGGGGAAACTCAGGCTTAAACAGTTAAAGGAAATCTCCTAGAGCCACCAAGCCAACAAAAGACAGAATGGGACTTCAAATCCAGGCCCAGTTACTCCAGAGACTATGTTCTCAACATATGCCCTTCTCGATCCCTTCCTATAATTACTGCATGAACATCAACACTTCATAGTTTAAGAGATGGTCCCAAAACACAGTGAGCATATGTATATTCACCAAAACTGACAAACTAGCCTGAAAAATAAATGTTCACCTAGCTCTTCCTCACCAGCTCACAAAAAATGTCTCACTAAAGTAATGGTTTCTAATTAATTTTCTATTTAGAAGTTAGTTATAAGAACATCCACTTACTCCTCTGTTTATATATACAGGCTATTCACAAATAATCCACTCATTTACCAATTTGTAACTTTTCAGGTGTTTGAATCTGAATATTTAGAGGATAGCTACAAAGTTTAAAACAGAATGAGACTTGTCCTAAGAGATGAATACATGAGTAATGTAATTAATCATTTGACTTTCCCTCAAATAACTAAGAAATTATAGCAAGAAATATAAAAGTAGGGAGAAGGCTTCTACCATTGTAGAAGAGAAGAATTGAGTGGAAGAAAGAACTGGAAACCTCTGAGAAAAACCAGGAGGCAATTTGCATGTGTTTTACCATGAAAGAAAGAAGGAAGGAGAAAGAGAGAGAGAGAGAGAGACAGACAGACAGAACCAGAGCATGAGGTCCTAGAAAACCCATTTGTGAGCCTCATACAGGATGATGAAACACTCAGCAAATTAAGTCTCTGAGCTTACGTGATTTGCAGGGAGAACTGTTGGTGTGCTCCACAATTCTGGTTTCATCTATTCGCAATTTCAAAGGGCCCCAAGGATATTTGACATTTGGTCGCATTTCAAAATGACCCTCTTTTCCGAAGTAATCACCAATAACCTATAGAAGCCAAAAAAAACAATGTTACAAAAGAAAAGGCCAAAGATACCTGCTTCCAACGGAGGCACGCAGCTCACAGCCTGGCTCCACCACTCCCCTAAAGGAGCCCGATCTAAACAGATTGCCTTCGGGTCCTGAGGAAACCGAATGGTCACCTTCATCAGCTGACTTCCCCCAGGGAGTGGCAGGAAGTGCTCCAGAAAAGTACAGGGCTTGAGGACGCCTCTCTTGCACATACTGACTGTGACAAGGTATGACTGAGGACCCAGTAAGTCAAGATGCAAAGTCACTGATGTTGCTGTCAAGGTGGGCATGTGTGAGGGAGAACAGTGGCTCCCCACATCAGGAAACATGGTCATGCCACCTCAGAAGGGTGTGGATGTGGCAAAAGCGGCCATGCCACCTAAAGTCTGCCCATACTGTAGACTGTGCTGTCCCTGAATGTTTTTTTTAAGTACTGAGGATTGAATTAACAACCCAGGGTCTTCACACTGAGTTACATCCCCAGCCCTTTCTTTTTCTTTTTTTTTTTTTTTTGAGTCAGGATCTTGCTAAGTTCCCCAAGTGGAACTTGAACTTGCAATCTTCCTTTCTCAGCCTCCCAGAGAGTTGGGATTACAGGTAGGCACCACCACACCCAGCTCCCTGAATATTCTTTAGTCTACTAGCTAGTAGGAAGAGAGGGGGTTTTTTTCTCCATCGGTTTTGAAAGTCATGGCTTTTCCTTGCTTATCTGCCCATAGGGCACTGCGCCACCCATTTGCCACAGAGCAGCTCACATAGCCAGCCATTTGTAAGGCCCAAATAACTTTCAGGGACCTGTGAGGGAGAGCCAGGGCCTACTGAATATCCAGGTTAAGCATATGACAGATACACAGCTTCACACCTCTGCTAGTCTGGAAAATAACCAAAGCATGAAAGAGTATCTTTTCAGGAACTTCCTGTTTGACAGACTATTCTTTGGGGATTGCACTCTCCCCTGAGGAATTCTCCCTTTTTGCACTGTTGACCAGCCTGAACTCTCTTTCAATTGGCTTCTCAGTGCCCTGATAAATCACTACTCTTGTGGTTCAGTTTCAGGCCTCAGCTTCAGGTCAAGACGAATGTTCAATCAGCCACCTCAGCCTGGATCTGGGAGTACCGTCCCACCCAGGTTCTCAGGACTCATTTCTACTTTGTCTAGGAACAAGACATAGCTTTGGAGTGGCCTGCAACAACTCCTCCTCTCTCTTCTGACCAGGGCCAAGCAGGCTCTCACAGGCTATGTCAGGTCATAATAAAAAAAAAAGTTCTAGATCCTTATCAAAATATAATAATCGCTGACACATGCTGAGTGCTTATCCAGCACCCCACACACACCTTCATGGCTGCAACCTCACAGTGCACTCTTACTTCCCACTTCTTCCATAGGGGGAACCCGGACAGATGAGACCCAGACTGTGGAAAGGGTAAAAATTTCACTGGGTAAAGAGTGCAGGTGACTTCGGATGCCTCGGCCCCTTCTAACAGGCCACCCATATCCAAACAGAGAGGGAAACAGTAAGTCACGTATTCCATAACTATAAGAGGTGACAGGAGCTATGATCCTGGGCAGGACCCTCCAAGGAAACACAGAGGAAGTGGCATTATTTGCTCAACACTGAATATTTGTATAACTCTTATATACATATTTATCACTTAAAGTCTGTACAGTACTTTTCTATGTTTTATGTTATCTAGTCCTCAATAGTCGTCCAAAATCAGCAAGGAAGACACTATGAATTCCATGTGCCGCTGAGAAAAGCAAAGCAGAGTTCACACCCCCGGAAGCACTGGAGACTCAAATTTACATGGAAGCTCTCTTTTCTCCTCATGATGCTACCCTGAAAGCACACCGTCTTTTAAAATATTACCACATGTGGGGTTTACAATCAACCACTAGGGAAAAAATCCCAAAGTTTAAGGGCAAATGCCATTTCGTTTTACCTCTTTCACCCAATGTCCCTGTGGCACAGGACTAAGGTGTGATTCTTGACCACTTGAAAGTTAGGATTTCCCCTGTGGGTGTAAATAGGGAACCAGTCCCAGACTTCTTCTCTGATGCCCTCAAACCATAGTGAGCTGCCCTTACTTAGAAACTCCCAGGTTTTCAACTCGTTCCATTTGAAGGCTATTCTGAAGACAGCCTATTGGACATCAGGACAAAGATACTCTTGGTGTCAACCTTGCAGAAGTCTCCTTTGCTCACCTCCTGGGTGCCTGCTTCTGTGTCCGTCATAGCAATCACAGAGAAGTCCCCATATCGGTCTCCATTGGCATCTATGGATACCTGCCCAGCAATACCTATAGGACCAGAGGTGAAGAACTCCAGTTAGTTACTGAAATATCTGTGTCTGCCAAGAAAAACAAGAGAATGAATTACTAGATTTTTTTAAAACAAACTCATGCCACAGGGACTCTCATGAGACCTTGAGCATTTTTGTTGGCATTTGCAAAGACATTATAATTTCATCTGTGTCTGCATTCCTAAATTCTTAACATTTTTCCTTTTAAAAATAAAAAGAAATAGAAGTAAATGATCTTCTTTGGGGAACATAGTTTAAAAAAATTAAGGCTAGTCCTGAAAGTAGCATGCTTATTCCAGAGTTTTGCACAAATTTTTCTTTAAAATGGCAGAGTGAGAAGTAGAGTTGCCTCATCATAGGTCCACATTATCCCTGGACAAATACAATGAGAGGAAAATTTGTCCAGGGAGGACACAGTGAATGTGCTTTCACAGGGCTGGGTCAGTGAACAGGAGAGCAGAGAGCCTGCTTCTAAGGTGCCCAGGGCCAGGAGCTGTTCTTTTCTATCCCTGTTCTGTATATTCAGTATCTACCCATGTTATCTGGAAAATTACTAGGTGCCAAATCAGGGCTACAGCTGAGACTAAGATGGGCTGAACACGACTGCTCAAGAGAAGAACAGCCTGGAATGGGGGTTTAGTTTGTCCACACTGGAATGTTTTGACATCCCTACCTCTGTAACCTTGGCCAAGATACTTAGTTCTCTGAGCCTCAGTCTCCACAACTATAAGTCAGAAATAATAATGTGGGTCCAGGGATTTAGCTCAGTGGTTCCAGTGCCTGCTGCATAAGCGCAAGGTCCTGAGTTTGATCCCCAGTACCGAAAAAATAAATAAATAAATAATGATATGTCCCCTACCGAGAGGCCATGGAGATAATTACATAAAATAAAACCAGTAAAGTATTTCCAAAACATATTTAAGAGAAATTAGTTGCTTTTTATTGTTAATATCACTGCCACTACTATTATTACTACATAGTGAGCATACCTTATCCAAAGTGCTTGGGACAAGAAGTGGTTCTGATTTTTTTCAGATTTTGGAATATTTGCACACACATATTGAGATATCTTGGAGATGAGACCAAAATCTAAACAAAATTCATTTGTCCCATGGATGCCTTATACACAGCTGCAAGGCAATTTTATACAATATTTTAAGTAATTTTGTGCATGTAAAAAACTTTCATGGTAAGAATTTTTCCACTTGTGGTGTCAAAGTTTTTAATTTTGAAGCATTTCAAGTTTCAGATTTTTGGATTAAGGATGCTCAATCTGCATTTATTTTATAATTACTATTATTACCAGTAATGCTATAATTGAAGTCTGGCTGAGGACCTCTGACCATGCCCAGCCACTCAGAAGAGGGGCTAGCACAGTAAGTTGGAGAATCCAGGGAGCTCAGTAAAAGAGCAGGAATTTTATAGGTACAGTGAAGGAAATCTATGGTTTGGACAAGCCAGAAAGGTTGGTCTAGTTGTATTTCCAAAAGCACAGAAGTTAAAAAAAAAAAAAAAAAGACCCCAAGGAGCTGTGAGTTTTCTGGGGAGATGGACCACGTGCGTGAAGGCGTGCAGTGAGGTGAGGGGCTGGGTGGGTAGCCAGAGCATAGAGGAACTTTGGTACCTACTTGCTTTGGCCAGCAATGAGCCTTAGAGCTGCTTCTTAATAAAAGCAACCACATGCCATTGGCTGATACTAAATATGCCTATATTTTCATTTTCATTCACCAGGAAAATGCACAGCCACATTCTAATTAACTGAAGCTATTTGTTTTCTTTGTGGGAGAGTTCAGTGTAATTCCTAATTGGTGTTTCTATTGATTTGGTTCTCTCCAGAAGTACTGACTCCCCTAGTAAAATGAATGTCTGGGGAAAAGCATCCCAAGGGAAAGTTCCATCCTCTAGTGTGGTTTGGAGAGGGCAGGTATTTGGGTTTACTGTCCTTTGGGCTGTGGTTTGAAGGCCCACTGATTTTTCCAAACTTTGGTCTACTTTGCTGGAAACAGAATGGAGCTGCCATTCATCTTGATTTTTTTCTCTTCCTAATATAAACTGGTTACAAAGCTTACAGCTACCTCAAACTTGTACTGTATACCTTTGACAGCCTGTCAAACTTTTAAGTGATGGATATATATTTTAAATACACACATAAACATATGGAGATGTTATATATACCCAAAAACATTTGTCATTCTGTTCAGAGGTGTCTGCAGTGCTGTGTCCTGTTCAGTGTTTTGCAGAATATAAGACAAGGTATCCCTAGTAATCCAAGACCTCATTACACCTCAAAGTCATTACAATTCTGCCAAGAAATGGGGTGAGAACCTAGGATGACTGATTAGCAAAGTGAGACTTCACCTGAGAGTATCAGACATAAGGTGAGATTGTCAGGCTGACTGCAGAATTTCCCTGCACATAAGTAATGAGACTTTCCACCTTCAAGGTCTGAGCCACAGTCCTATTTACCTTGTCACTCTGACCTCTCACACAGAGGAAACTCAGCTTCTTCCTCGGCCATTTATTGAAAGTCTTGAGAGTTGATCACAGGTTTCATGGCAATAAAATCCAAATTTGTCAAATAACATCCAGAGTATTTTTCCCTTGACAACTTAATGGTCACTTACATTGACCACTAAAATCAAAATTGTTTTTAATTTTAGGAAGGTTAGGGTTTTTCTTCATACAGATATCTTAAGGTTCTTTTTAAGCTTACCCTTAAATGGACTATTATTTAGCAAATAAAATGGACTCTCCAAACGATTCAAACCCAAAACTTACCTTAGCTTCAATGATCTTTACTACATACGGACAAATGAGATTCTACTTTTAGACAGAACCATATGGTGGGCTGTTTCAGGACTCACTGCAAGTGCCTGGCAGAACTGGCCTTAGAGGGGAAGCACCGAGGTGGCCTTTGGGAACATGTAGCTCATGGCCTGGTTCTACAGAAAGCTACCTTCCAGCCACTGTGAGCCCCTGCCCTTCCCTTAACTCCCCTCCAGATGCCCTCCAGTGCCCCCCAACTCTGGCTTCTGTCCCTCTGTCAGAAGACCAAGGACAAATGACCACACCATGCAGTGAGTAATAGCTAAAAGTGGGGATGTGGCCGACCAAGGTTGTTCCCCACACAGTTTCTCAACGCATTGTGCACAACTTCTGGGAAACTTGACCTTGTCCTAATATGCCCCCTGAATTACCCCATTTGGTTCCTGCTCCTCAGCTGAAGCAGTCAGAGGGAAAGCAAAATCATCTCAGAGTCTTGATCACCACATCCTACTATCTGTCTGAAGTGAAAAGAGATGTCACTCTAGTTTCTGAATATGGCATGCCTTCCACTAAAAGTAATGCCCCAATCCATGAAAGGGCTCAAAAGAAGAATGAGCAAGAGGCAGATCTGAAAGAATGCCTGTCAGTCATCAACTAGTCCAGCCTCCTTATCAAATAGGTGAAGAAAGAAGCTTAGTAGAAGTGATTAGTGGCTAGGATACAAGTCCCTGACTGAAGGCCAGCAATCTGCTCTCTAGGTTAATGGTTCAAAAGATGCCCATCAGCTTACTGCAGTTTACATCCCACAAAGCAGCCACAACATGTCACCGGAAACCTTCAGGAGACTTTCTAGCTCTTTCAAATGGAGCCCAAGTCCTCAGCAAAGCCTCCGAGTTCACAGGGTCTGGCCCCACTATCTCTCCAGCTTTGATTCCTGTCACTCTGCCCCTTATACTCCTGTCTAATACAGTTCCTGGCTCCTTGGGGGACACTTGGCAAGTTCTCACCAGAGGTGTTCAGGCCTCTGTAATTGCTGCGCTATCCCCTAAACATCTCCATAACTCCTCCTACTCCCTCGGGTCTCTGTCCAACTGCCATTCCAAGATGCCTCTGACTGCTCTAAGTCAGCAGTCCCATTTCTCCCTTCTCGTCACTTTTTTTCTTATCTCCCTATCCAGCTTCATTTTATATTCTCTCAAATGCCAAATCTACTTGCTTACTGCCTGCCTGCACCAACTTGCATGTAAGCTGAACTGATTACAGAGAACATCTTTCGTTCACTGCTGAATCCTCAGCTCCTTGAACCTTCCCTTAAGGTTGCCTGGCAAATAGCAGATGCTCAATGAATACTTGTTGATTCAATGAATGAATGAATAGAATGTTGATGTCTGGAGGGCAGCAGGAACCAGATTTTTTTTCTTAGTCTCATGTTAGTTCTGAGTGTTGGTGAGGTGAGAGGAAACCAGTCCAGACTCCTTATCAGATGAGTGAAGAAAGAGAAGCTCAGAGGGCTGCAATTACTCTTGTATGCATTGTTGTCAAAAATACAGATTAGCAGACTTTTCTGGAAGACATTTGGCAGTATCTACTGCACTTTATAAAGCACTAATTTACTTTTGGACCAAGAAGAACCACAATAGAAATGTTCCCTTTTGGAAATATTCACAAAAACTCGTCAAAAGGTGCAAGAGGTTTGTGACAGCATATTGAATAATAGCAAAAGTTAGAAACAACAGAAGTGTCCATCAATTGAAGAGGGTTAAAGAAATTTTTGAATAGCCATGAGGCGGACTACTATGTAACTCCCACTTTAAATCTGTTGGATCGATGAGTGTTCATACAGAAAATTCTTTCATTTGATGACATACAAGTAAAAAAAAAACCCAAGATGAAAAATGGCATCCATAATGTGATCCATTTTGTATAAAAGCTCTAGGTGAGCTATAACAATGCACACATCCTGGTAGAAGGTATAAAATATTTTTAGACAGAATCACCTAGAAAACTGTTAATAGTGACTACATTAGGGGAAGAGGATTAGAATGGAAAGGAAAGCCTTCACTTTTCATTTTGTACACTTTTAGACTGCTTTAATTTTCTGCCCAAGAATAGTCTTACTAGGCATGGTGGCACATGGCTGTAATCCTAGCATTTGGGAGGCTGAGGCAGGAGGATCATCAGGAGTTTGAGGCCAGCCTGAACTACACAGTGAGTTCAAGGCCTCCCTAAAAAATATGATGGGATCCTGTCACCAAAAAAAAGTCTTAATCTCATATAATTTTTAAATGTCATCAGAGGTTGCTTGAACAATAAGATTATAGGTGTTTACTGATATTTGTCTTATACTTCTGTGTTCTTAAGAAAGCAACAACAAACATGCACCATTTTAAAAGGCAGTGAGAGCAAAGGGCCCAGCAGGACCTGCTAACCATCTTGAACCATCAGGTTTAATCATGCCAGCCGAAGACTTCTGAGCATCACAAAAACCAATATAGTCTGAACAAAGGGATGTGTATCTGGAATTAACATTTCCTTTAAAACCAGTCACAGATCTCTTCAGAAACTGATTGTTCTGTTGTGAATGAGGTTGTGTTAAATGTAAATTTAAGAACCACAGGGTTGTTAGCTGTATAATCAGAAGGAAATATTTCCTATTTTAGTGAAACTTTCCAAGCACATCTGCATGCATTTGGTCTTCATTTATTACCCACCCCTTAATAGTAGGAAAAGCAAGACACTAGAAAGCCCCCATAGCTTCAATAGACAGAAACAGAACCACAAACAAAACAGCTTAATCTGCTACAAGGCTGTCATCTTGTAGACTAGATCCCTACCTTCAAATGTCCTGTTCCAAGTACGCTGGATAATCTTCCCTCCATCCTTCTTGCTGTAACCAGCTCTAAGAACTTCATGTAAAGCCAGGACATAGAGGACGATGGCATCATGGAATCCTTCAACAAACATGTTCACCTGAAAAGGAAACCCCAGTTGGGTGAATCCGAACACCAAAACAATCATGTTCATGAGTCAGAGAAGCAAGCACAAAGGTTCACAAGTGAGACTGGAAGTCTGAGAGGGCTGGCAGGGTGGGGCAAAAGGGCAACCAACAAGAATTATGTCATGGTTGCCTGGCAGTGGCTGAGTAAGGAAAACCTCTCCTCAGTTTGGGAAATTAGAGAGCACCTACCTCTGCCTTGAGGTCTTATCTATCTTGAACAGCCCCCATGATCTCTCCATGTCCTAAATGTGAAACATACTAAAAGAGGAGTAGGCATCCATTTATTCTCACTCAATGATTGTGAAGTGGCCATTAGCACACATGTGCTAAAAAAAAATGCAAAGAAAAATGGACACTGATTTCTGCCTGCCAACAGGGCCAGCATTTGTGTCCTCTCCACTGTCAGCAATAACATCTCAATCTCTCTTTCCACCCCTCTGCCAAGTTCCAAGGAAAGAAATAGAAAACAGACTTGGGCCTTTGGTGTATCCCAAAGTGTTCTGGCTCAAGTAAAGTAGCCCTGCCTTCCAGAAACTTATAGTTTCATTAACAGAAACATTGGCTGAGTGAACTTGGGAAAGTGGCTTAGTCACCTTGGCTTTGTTTTCTTCATCTGTACACTGACCATCAGACTAGAACCCATGTTAAGAGGTGGTTGCAAGAGTCATATAACACAGGGCCATATAGTGTTCAGTATGTCATCCTGGGCACACATCAACTATTCAACAAATACAAGCCAAATACCATTTTGACTATTTTATAGACTCTAACAATTGGTGCTGTGTTAAAGCTCTGTTCAGGATACAGAGAGAATACCAAAAAAAAGAGAAAGGAATCAATATTATGGGTTGAAGAGGGATAGGCAAGAGAGGCTTTAAACACAATGACAAAAGTTGAACTGAGTTTTGAAAATGAAGAGATGTCTTGCAGGTGAGGAGCCTGAGGGAAATACTTCAGGTGCAGTAAGTGAAGGCTCTGAATCATGGCACATCCCAATAGGCTGCTGTATTGAGAACTCCAAATGTTCTTCGAGGCTGGGGGCATGAGGGTTAAGCAGTGCTGAGCCACTGGGCAGAGAGGTAAGAAGACTCATGTCCTTTGGAACCAGAAGGCCATACTGTACTGAAGAGCTCAGGCTATCTCTAGTTGGCATTTGATCACTTTGCTCTACTTTATGACTAGATAATAAGCACCCTTTGATAAGTCCTAAAACCACAATTAAACACATTATAACCTCCATTGGGCATGAAATAACCAAATACAATCTTAAAACATTGAGATCTGCCATACTACTGCCCCCAACTCTGAGGAGCAGAGCCAACCCTAGAGCCAAGGAGGAGCCTGCCCGGCCACCATACAACCACCCCCAGTGCTGAGGAGCAGAGCTGTCCCCAGCACTGAGGAGGCACCTTCTGGGCAGCCATACCATTGACACCAGCGCCAGGGCAGAGCCACCCCCAGTGCCCAGAGGAGCCTTCGGGGCCACCATACCACTGCCCCCAGCACCAAGGAGGTGAGCCGCACAGGTGCCAGCAGTACACACTCCCTTCCCTCCCAACCCCCGCCCCATTGAAATGAGAAGACATGTAAACAAGTCTCAAAACCAGACTTCCAAATCATGTAAAGCAACCCCAAAGAGAAACGAGGTGGAACAATCTGATACTCAACCACCTGGACTGCCTGAACTGGCAACAAACAGCATCTGGAAAAAATGAAATCAGAAATAATTTCTCAGGGCTGGGGATTTAGCTCAGTGGATTCGCCGCCTGGTGCACAAGCAGAAGGACCCAAGTTCGTTCCCCAGTACTAAAAAAAAAGAAAGAAAAGAAATAATTTCTCAGATAACATCAGAGATTGTGTGCATAGTGCAAGACATGATTAATAAATCTAGAGCAGACACAGATTTAAAAAAATAGAGGAGCTGAGGAACATGATGGAATTCCAACATAGAAAACAAATGGAATTCATAAAACAGATGCAAACAGACTGAGTTGCCAGGAGCCCCTCCCCATCCAGCCTGTGCTAAGCACACCGGCAGGGCACAGAAGAGAGGTACCAAGTTGCTGGGAGCCCCACCCCATCCAGACCAGCCAGAAGGTGAGGACCATTTGCCACTGGCCTCACCCATGGCACCACTCCTTAGCCATGTGGGTACCTGGAGGATGCCCCCCCTCCTCTGGCTTCTTGGCTATGCTGCTACCTGGTTCCACACCAAACCACCATACTGGGTAAGTTGGAGGGATCATCACCTCCCATCGGAACATGGACTATCTTCAGGGGAAGGACAGCTGAAACCTGTAGTACAACCTTGCAGAGTTCAACCTTACAGGAGGACAGGCAGCTCAACTTGGGACTTACAGCCAGAAATCTGCCTGAATCTCACAGGTCTGCAATTGGCCTGCTAAGACACACTGAATTATATCTGCATACTGCTGCCCAAGTTGTCTGTTGTGACAGTAGAGACATACCCTGAAGGAGCCCCTTCATTTTCATTTTTATTTTTCCTCTTATTTTTTTTTCCTACTCTTTTCAAATTTTTATTTTTCTCTTCTGTTTTTCTTTCTTTCCTCTTGCCTTTCTCTCTCTCACACACTCACTTTCTTGCTGTCCCAGATTGTTATTCATCTCATTTTTTGTTCCTGTTCTGGCCCGAATTTGGATTTCTTGTTTATTTTTCTTTTATTCTTTTTTTCCTTCTCTTGCCTGTGTCCTCTGGCCTCACTGCTAACCTTCCCCTATCCTTCTACCTATCTATCCCTCTCTTCACAACTCCTTCTAACTCCCCATCCCAAAAGGCAAAGTTGCTATATTGAAGAGTTTATTCACTATAAACATATGTTTGGTAGGTCCTCAATTTTGATTTAATTCACACAGTTAAAGGTGACAGATTAATAACTTTCAGAAATTGTCATTTTCTAAGATGTACTTGATGCTAGAGTGTTGCTGATTGTATCACTTGGGCTAAGGTGTTGTGATTGATCTAGTAAGTGGTCCTTCCTGGTATAATGAAAATGAGATACCCTCAGAGTCATTAGCAACTCAAAACCTAAAGACCAGCTATATCTGAAAGACACCTCTGAGAAGCAATCATTCCATAAAGGTCCTAATTACAAGCAAGGAAGATACTTACATTAAGCAATATGGAGGTATCAACCCAGGAATTAAACCAAGGACAATACCAAAAACAAAAATGGGAAGACATTTAAGCAAGGCACAAACTCAGACTTCCACCCCAACAAGGGTAAATTCTGGGGTTCACAAGGTGGAAAAGTCTGATAATCAACCACCTGGACACCCTGAACTGATAGCACAGGAAGTAAAAAAAACATGAATGAGGCTCTAGAAAATTCAAAGCAGAAACAATCTCCCAGATAACTACAGAGATGGTAAGCAGAGTGAAAGACATGATTAGAGGCTCTAGGACAGAAACAGATAAAACAATAGATGATCTCAGAAACATGCTAGAAGCCATGAAGGCCCAGCATAAGAAAGAAATGGAAAACATGATCACCAAACATAAGAAAGAAATGGAATCCATGAAACAGATTCAAACACATATTGAGGAGATTAAAAACTCCATTGAAAGTATGCAGAGCAGATTAAGGGAATGTGAAGATAGAATATCAGATATAGAAGACAGGATTGTGGGTAAGGACCATGAAAACAGATATCTCTTAAAAATAGTAAGGGACCACAAAAAATTAATCCAGCAGCTGCTAGATGATGCAAAGAAGAATAACATAAGACTGATAGGGGTCCACAAATAAACAGGAGAAAGTACAATTGACATTAAAAAACTGTTTACAGAAGTAATAGTTGAAAACTTCCCAGACAGAGGCAGAGAATGAGACATACAGATAAGTGAGGCATATAGAACTCCAACTAGCCACAATCAAAAAAAAAAAATCTACACCTAGACATATAATAATCAAGATCCCAGAAACCCAACAGAAGAACAAAATCCTACAAGCAGTAAGAGAAAAGAAACAAATCACATACAAAGGAAACTCCAACAGAATCACAGCAGACTTCTCAACACAAACTCTCAAGTCAAGGAGAGGCTAGAGTGAAGTATTTCAAGCCCTTAAAAAAAATAACTTCCAAGCTACACTGTTGTATCCTGCAAAATTATCTTTCGAAATTGATGGGGAAATTAGATACTTCCACAACAAAGAACACCTGAGAAATTTCATGAACACCAAACCAGCACTCCAAGCAATTCTAAACAATATCCTAGAAAAAGACAATGAAGCTCACAGTTCCATGAGGCCCAAAAGAAGGAAGCCACCTGGCAAGGTAAGAAACTAAAGGGAAAGGGGGGGAAATAACAAATAAAAGAGCCAACAAAAGTAAAACACCATGACAAGGATGAGTCAATATCTATCAATTATAACCATCAATGTTAAGGGCCTCAATTCACCAATTAAAAGAAACAGACTGGCAGAATGGATTAAGAAGGAAAATCCAATAATATATTGTATACAAGAAACACACCTAACTCAAAAAGAAATTCATAGACTGAAAGTAAAAGGATGGAAAACAGTTCTCCACACAATAGGAACCCAGAAAAAAGCAGGGTTAGCAAACTTATTTGCAGACAAAGTAGATTTCAAACCAAAACTAATTAAGAGAGACAAA